AATTCTGACTTGAACTGTACGTACGTTTAGTAATGTTATTTTCTCAACTAATTTCAAAAGGAGCACATGCTCATGATTGACTGCAGCTGGTCCCGCATTAGCTAATGCATGATCCACCAATCAGATGATTCCTAAATCGCTATAAATAACCAAAGCATCTTACCCTAGCCATCTTTGTCTTAAAGAATCCACCCTTCCACCCCTACTCTTCCCATTATCCTTGACAGGGTGGCACGGCGGCCCATTGGTTAGCACTGTTGCCACTGTAGCAAGAATGTCAGTGGTTTAAGTCTTTACCTGGCCACGTTGATATTTCTGTGTGGAGCCCTGGGCTCGAGGATCTTATGAGCTTAGGGATCTCTCCCGGGACAGCATGTCAAACACGCTTTATAATCAATCATGAGCTAAGTGTGAACTCTTGAATATGTATTTACGTGTGTACACTACCTGACAAAAGTCTTGTCGTTGATGCCAGTTGTAGGAGCAACAAATAATAACTTGACTTCTAGTTGATCATTAGGGAAAGTGGCAGAAGGTAGTTTTTAGAAATCATCTGTTGAACTGCGTCCCGATCATCACAAATACTGCAGAAGACCTACTGGAACCTGCCATTCTCTTAGAAATACGTCAAGTTTGGTGAAGGAAAAATCATGGTTTGGGGTTACATTCAGTATGGGGGCGTGTGAGAGATATGCAGAGTGGATGACAACATCAACAGCCTGAGGTATCAAGACATTTGTGCTGCCCATTACATTACGAACCATAGAAGAGGGACAATTCTCCAGCAGGATAGCGCTCCTTCTCATACTTCAGCCTCCACATCAAAGCTCCTGAAAGCAAAGAAGGTTGATGTGCTCCAGGATTGGCCAGCCCTGTCACCAGACATATACATTATTAAGCATGTCTGGATAAGATGATGGAGGAGGCATTGAAGCATACCTGTCAACATCCAGTTTTTCCCAGGAGTCTCCCTTATTTCAGACCCATCTCCTTCCACCCTTCTGTTTTGTTAATTCTCCAGGAAAACTCCCATTATTTACAGTCCCACCCCTGATCCTCAGCATTGTGGTAAGGTCTGTGAAACCCCCGAGTCACCAACATTGGTACAGGATCCAATCGCAGCCGGAGCCCAAAACACGCTTCATAATAGTTACTAACACCACAGTACACACTCTCAGAGATAAAGATACGGAGCTGTCACTGTGGTGGTACACATTTCTACTTGAAGGGTCCATATTGATACCTACATATTTTAAGTGGAACACTTTTGCACTTTTTAGGTACTCATATGCAGGGCCAGACGGAATCAGCAGACGTTTTTTGCTATTTCTGCAGAGAATTTTGGTAAAAATCTGCGTATATAGAATTATTTCGGGATTATCCAGTGAACTAAAACCTTAATATATGAAATAAAAAGTAATAAATTACTGAATAAAAATTGAATAAATTTTGATTTACACATTTACTCAAGTAAATCAACAGAATTAATGATGGGCTAAAAATCAGCAGAAATCTGCTGAATTCTGCGGAAAATCTGCAGAAAATCTGCGGAATTCTGCGCGCGCAGATTCCGTGTGGGCCTACTCGTATGTACCCGCGAGGTATTAATATGGACCTTTTAGGTACAAACTTGTACCCTTTCAAAAGGTACCACCCCAGTGACAACTCTCGTACCTTTATTTCTGAGAGCACACAGTACCTGATTTTCAGCAGTATTATTTAGACACCTCACGCCCGAAACTAACCCCCCCAGTTTCCCGGATTTTCAAAGAGAGATGTTAGCAGGTATGCATTGAAGATGAATCCAAAGAATCTTGATGAACTCTTTGCCATTCCAGATGACTTTATTAATCAGTGATTTGAGTCATGTCAGAGATGTATGGATGCAGTCCTCCAAGCTCATGATGGAGTCAGACACAAGATTCATTCTGTTTCCACTTCAGCATGACTTTATAGTCTATACTGGACATTATTTCTGTTCAGTGACAAGACTTTTGTCGAAGCAAAGTCAGACCTTACTGTCCTAATTAAATCATTAAAAATCAAGGCATGATCATATTTTATTTGGGTAAAATAAGCGTAATCTAGACTCCTTCGCCTTTCATATAAGCCTCTTCTGATGCCAAATGATCATCTGGAAGTCAAGTTATTATTAGCTGTTCCTAAAACTTGGACAGGCGACAAGACAAGGAAAGTCGCTGTCAGTCAGTAGGTGGAGATTTAGTACGTTTGCTGACATCACAACCCCCGCAGATGCTTGGAGAGCGAAACGCCATGCAAACGCAGCCCGAGGACGACTTTCGTGACTGTTGCATGACTGCGCCATGGCACGATTTCATGTGCAGTGGAGTGAAAGTCAGAGAGCGGCACACTCTGAAATGTTAATAAAGCGTGCTCGGTGGACGAGCATCGCACACCACTGCACTGAACACAGATTCATCTATCAGGATTAGTGCGCAAATGTTGATGTATTTTGCTGATTCTGGTGCAGGCCAGGTGTGCAGTTACACACAGTTACAAAGTCAAAATGTCTGTGCTTTGGATTTCAGATGATATAGCAGCCAGGGCTCTGGAAATATTAGGAGTTTTCCGTCAATAATGTGGGGAGTTTTCCAATCAAAACTAGCCCAGTAATATTAAAAACTCAAAATATGCCTTCGACCATTCATAAAGTGCATACAGTGGGAGAATTCTTTTCTTGGGAATAATATTTCTAAAGGAGCTGTTTTCACAGACCTCAACAGAGTGTCAAAACCCTTGATGGTTCTGTGGGTCTCGTCTATCAAATCTGAGCTTTATTTAGTATTGTCTGTTGGATTCGGATCAGGTGATTGGCTGGGCCATTCTACAGCTTGATTTTCTTTCTCTGAAAGCATTTGAGAGTTTGCTTGGCTGCGTTTTGGATCACTGTCTTGCTGAAATGTCCACCCTTTATCTTCATGTAGATGCTAGACTGAAGCAGCTGATGTTCATTTACACTGAGGAAGGGTAGAGGGTTGCTGAAGAACTGCTGAGAGATTTCAGCTGCTGTCTGAGTTTTTCACTGCCTTTCTACACCTTCCTTTCTTCATGTGTTCAATACTTTTTTTTTCTGCGTCGTTTCATTTTATTACACATGACTTCATTTGTAAACTAATTAGGTTTTTTTTCTTTGGATATATAGATATCTTCGGTTGTTATGAACATCTGGTGAAAATTTCAAGCCAACAGCACCTTTAGAAATGTTTTCTGATAAAAATGGTGACGTGTTCAATACTTATTTCCCCCACTGTATTTTACATCACTGTATGTATTATTAACACTTTACATTATTAACAACAACCTTTTTTGCTAATAATAATAATCATAATCAAGACAAATATAATACTTTTTGAATAAATTATTAAGGTTCTGTTATCATGAAAAAATAATAAAGTGATTAAAAGTAGCCCAATTTTACAGGAAAACCACAATTGCAAAACTGAACTGTTGTGAGCCAAACCATGTCTAACCGAACTGTACTATGCAGTGGAAAAGCATTTAATAGCACTAATATATACACTAATCAGTGTTTTCCCAACCATTATATAAGGGGGGTTCCCCTACCATTATATAAGGGGGTGCCCCGCCCTCCCAACGGCTGTACCCGCCCCCCTTAAAGTCACATTAATTCTATTATCTATAAAGTGCCAGATCACTACTTTTTTAATAAACAAGCTAAATAGCCATATGTAATATCTTATTTACACAACAGCATGTCATTTTCTGTTCTGTTCTCGCGTCACCGCAGCTAAAATATATACAGATGCAGACATCCCAAGTCTCTCGAAAGTTCCGGGAGTCTCCCGCAAATGCATCCTCCCAGATGCCCACAAACGAATCATAATCTCCCGTAAATCGCGCTTCTCAAATACATCCCGCATCTGTCACGTTAAGCGTGATAAAAACAGAACAAAAACGGTAACAAAAAGGGTGTGGATCCAAATGCAGATATTAAATAGTGCGGTAACAGTGAGCAAAATCCAAAGCGCAAAGTAACAAAATAGCAAACAAACAAAACAAGACACTAAGACAGATTAAACACGAACTAGACTTTACAGCCTGATCTCACGAGAAAACGTAAGTATTTTACGTTTTGGCAGTTTAGTGGCTAATTCGTACGAATTCGTACGAGTTCAGTCGTAAGAAAATGTACGATTTTAAAAAGGAGGCGTGGCACCTAACCCCTCCCCTAAACCCAACCGTCATTGGGGGATACGCAAATCGTACTAAAATGTACGAATTAGATCGTGCGAATTTGTACGAATTAGCCACTAAATGAAAAAGTTACGAATTGCCGTGAGATTGTGTTGGACTTTAACAAGATACAAGAGCGAGATCAAGAACAACATACCAGAGCTGACAAGATAGACAAACGACGCCATGACAAACAGAGGTGGAATGGTTGTATAAATAGTCCAGGAAATCAACGGTAAACAGACACAGCTGTGATGGCAGATCAGTATACGTGGACGGGTGTAATGCGCGCGGTATGTATGGACTTGTAGTCTTTTGGGCGCTGTAGTTCATACTCAGTGTCCGTTGAACTACAGCGCCCTCAGGTGGTCACTGACAGTCATGACAGCATCCCTCCCCGCACTTCAGATACGTCGATCACATCCCATGCTGTGATGCGAGCGGAGCTATCTTCTCTATTTAGTGTCTAGTTATGACCTCTCCCGGAAGCTCTGCGTGTCCTCCGCAAATTCATATCGGCTCCATGATCCTGCAAAATTATTAAAATACCCGGAAATCATGGCGACTAGAGTGAATGAGCAAGCGTACAAATGAATGTTGCAGTTGAGATTACTCCAAACATCAAATCAAAATGCACATTTCAAAGCACTTCACTGGACTTTTAAGTATGACAATAAACCAGAGTTGAAGTAAAAGCAGTCTATAAGCCAGACTTACTTCATTTTTCGATATGATGGAGTACATGCACATGTTTCTAATTCTGATCTTGATTTCATCTCTTGCAGATCAGCTCCTATTGGTCCTGATGGTTGTGAGATCCCGCTTCCGCCAACTCTCAACCAATCCACACGAGAGAGATGTGACGTCCAATCACACGCTAGGATTTCTGCATTCTGGAGCTGTTAAAACCCAATCCACACCCAGGTGAGCTGCATCCTATCCAGCTGCTGTGTAACAAATGGATGCGTTGGCTTGTGACGGAGAGAGCATACTCAATAAGAAACACTCAGGGATTTACTTTTCTGAAGACGCCGTGCTTTCATTCCCTCAGGGATTTAAGCGGCTGTGGCTTTGATTGTGGATCTGAATGAATGAAAGCCATACCTGTTAGACTGCACTGTGAATGCAGGTAGTTGATCCAAAAGTCTAGTGTCATTCCTCTGCTATTTTCTTTACAGTCAAAGCAACTTTTTGTCCTATAGGACTAACACAGGCTTATTGTGAATACGTACCCCTGTGTACATTTCTGGAGAGCGCAAATTATGTAGCCAGATCTACTGTTGACTAATTTATATGGTTTAAAAACTGGTCCCACTTGCATCAAAAAATAAATACAACGTTCTTAATTTGTTCGTAATGTATTGTAGAACACTTACGATTAAGGACAAGTTTTGGGGTGTGGGTTGGTTTAAGGGCAGTTTAAGGTGTAAGGGATGGACAACTGTGTAATTAAAAATGTAATTACAGAAATTAATTACAGATGTAAATTCATGCTGGTATTTAATCGGTCATAAGTACAATGGAAAAACATGTATTTACACAATAAGTACACTGTAATTAATTAGTATATTCAGTGTAAGTACTTATTAGTTAAGGGCACTTAAAATATTTTTAAAAACCCAAATAAACTCAAAATTACTAAAATTAAAAAAATAATTAAACCCTAATGTTAAGCTTAAATGGAATAAATAAATAAATAAATAAATAAGTAATAATAATTAGGGCGAGGCTGTGGCGCAGTAGGTAGTGCTGTCGCCTCACAGCAAGAAGACCGCTGGTTCGAGCCTCGGCTCAGTTGGCGTTTCTGTGTGGAGTTTGCAAGTTCTTTGCATGGGTTTCCTCCGGGTGCTCCGGTTTCCTCCACAGTCCAAAGACATGCAGTACAGGTGAATTAGGTAGGCTAAATTGTCCGTAGTGTATGAGTGTGTGTGAATATGTGTGTGGATGTTTCCCAGAGATGGGTTGCAGCTGGAAGGGCATCCACTGCGTAAAAACTTGCTGGATAAGTTGGCGGTTCATTCCGCTGTGGCGACCCCAGATTAATAAAGCGACTAAGCCGACAAGAAAATGAATGATATATATATAAAATAAATAAATATTTTTATTATTTAGGCACTGTTATGCAGATTTTAAAATTTTTTTAATGCAGATTAAAACTTTTTTTTAGTCCAATGGAAAAACTACACCTTTTCTACAAAACAATTTTTTCTGGCTGTTTGTAGAATTTTCTAAATCAAGCAATCATAAAAAAAGATTTCCAAAATACCCTCTATGGGACTTTTTGACTCGAAATTCAGATTATTGTGATTGAAAGGTCTGCAAATTAGTGTATATGTAATAAAATTAAACTTCATTTGCATATTTAAATGTAAAATATTTGAAAACCTAACAAAAAAATCAGTAAATAAAGTTTATTTATAAACTAATTTCGAGAGGATCACGTGCTTATGATTGCTTGCGGCTGGTCCCACATTATTTCATTTATGATTCACCAATCAGACGATTCCTAATGCTGTGTTCACACCAGGCGCAGAACGCGCGGATAAATCACGCTATTCGCGCGTAAATAGCCGCGTGAACATTTGAGGTTACTTGCTTTATTCGCGCATCAAATTCACTTCAGAACAGACGTGGATTCGCGTGATGGGCAGGGCTTCTGTCTGCCCTGTGACTCTAGCTTCATAGCTAAATGGCTAACATGGATTTTATAAAGAAAATAACAGTGTTTAGGTGCTTTATGAAGGATGATAAACAGTGTCGATACGTTTAGGGCCGTGTCTGAGTCCACTACATTCTTTCAGAGGTGCATCCAGCTCTGTGAGCTCATAAACTCCTCCAGAAACTGAACCTGGATGATGGAGGTTTTCAGCGGTGCTTCTGACTGAGCCCAGCCCAGTTTGATGAACTTCTTGTCGGTGTCTGCTGGGGGATTTCCCCTGGGACATCGACAACAGGCGATACGTCACAATCACGCCACCACAAGAGCAAGCTCCTGATTTGTTAACACGGCGCGAATGTCCGCTGAAGTTCAGATTTTTTGCGCCATGCGCACCGCGCCATTTGCGCAATTCTCGTCATTGGTGCTGCGCCATTCGCGCGTATCGCGCCGCAGGATGTCTATTTGCGCATTTGCATTGACTTAACATGTAAATCACTTGCGCTTGACGCGTCTGGTGTAAACGCAGCATTAGGCACTATAAATACCCTAAGTTCCATATAACAGCCATCTTCATTTTGAAGAATCCCCCCTTCCACCCCTACTCCTCCTAACAAAGCTAACAAAGTCAATATGGCTAGTTTGATTACTTCTAAACTATTTCAATGAAAATTTAAAAACATTTAAACGTGATTAATTCTGTAAATACCATTTAAAAATATCAGCAGTGAATCTGTACTGGGATAAAGTCAGGGATGTAGCTGCTGGCGCACGTGCGTACATTTAGGTCATGTTCACAGTGCAGTGGGTCACAGTCACATCGCATGACGCTGACGGCCGGTGCAGTGTGAAGCACTCAAGCAAACGTAATAAACACTAATGCAGAGTGTCCTCCAACGGATTAACGTCCAGATTCCTTCTTACACTGGGAAGAGCCTCGCCAGCCATTGACCCAGTAAACTGAGCTCAAGGGATACGGTTACGTATTAAAAAGCGATTCTTTAAGTAATGGATCCGGCATTGAATGGAGAAGGCGATGGAGAGAGGAAGTGTGAGCAAGACATCAAGCGCTCCTCCTTAACACTGAACATGGAGCTTTTTATAGGCGTCTGCTGCTGTGTGTGTGTGCTAGGAGATGGGGGTTGGGAAAGACATGGCGGAGACGGAGGGTGTAGAGTTTCTGTAGGCAGCATTAATAGATGCTTTGAGGTGGTTCAGAGCTGAGAGCTGAGCTTTTTTTTTTCCGGTGGGTTTCCAGATGATCTGGAGCTCATGGTTTGAGGCCATGGTGATTCTGTGGCATGTAGAAACGGCACATATGGCCATAGATGAACACATACTGAGTAATAAATGTAATTGTGTTCGAACATATGTATATTTATAATTCAATATAGGCTTTTTTTTAACCATTTAAGTAACAAATATGAACAGTTGAAGTCAGTAATATATTTTTTTCGCCAATTTCTGTTTAATGGAAAGATAAGTCATCTCTAATAACTGATTTCTTTTATCTTTGCCATGATGACAGCACATAATATTTAACTAGATATGTTCTAGTATTCAGCTTAAAGTGACACTTAATTGCATAACTAGATTAATTAGGCAAGTTATTGTATAGACGAATTATGGTTTGTAAACATTCAGGACAGGGGCGGACTGGCCATCTGGCAATTCTGGCAAATGCCAGAAGGGCCGGACCAATTTTTAAATGTGGGCCGTTCAGTTTTTTTTTATTTTTTTAATATGTATTGTTTTTAAGTGAAGACAGCTTTTATCTCTTGCTAGATGCTATTATGATGATGATGATAATAATAATAATAATAATAAATGTTAAGCATATATTTTATTTATTTGTTTCAAGATGGGCCGACCCAATCCGAGGTTACCTGGACATAATCAAAATCTGGCAAGAATGTCATATTATTTCACCATCTGTACACCAAAATAAATAGTGAATGTGCGTGTCCGTGGGTGGGGCTGTGTCGGTGGGGTAATTTGTGTGGCTACAGTGCCAGGGCTGAGTTTTTGTCCCAGTCCGCCCCTGATTCAGGATGTGCGCACAGCGAGGTTGCAGAAAAAAACGGGAGCGCAAGCATTTACAGAATGACATCCTATGCGGTACGGAGTTTGTTGTTGTCTTAGAATTAAGTTATATTGATTACATATCATAAATATTATTTACAGAATGCTTTTAGCATATTATAACAGCTTGTCACCTAGTGATAAGCACAGTTATTCGGCAAAATTTAACGTTAAAGTAAGCGGCGTTCGTCTGACAGGTCCATTTGCGATAGATAACACCCTGCCAATGGATATTGGATGAGACCATCCAACCCCAAATATACAACTATCTCATTGAAACTCCAAGTGATTTTACAAGAGAAGTTGAAGATCTACAAGTCTTTGGATGCCTACAATGTTGTTCTGTGTGGTCATGTGCTAGAAATAATGCTCCATGATGACCATATTCAAAGCTTTGTAGTGCTAAAAACTCTGCCTAGCCAAAGACAAGGAAAGACGACGGAGTTTTATAAGACCTGGGTAATCATCAACAATCAAAACAACTGCATTCTGACCGCGAATTGCACCTGTACAGCAATGATGTGACAGAATGTGACCGTACATGTTTACATTTCATTCTATACGTTCAGTGTCCACAGTTTAATTCACCATATGTAACTGTTTTTGCTGAAATCATTGCTGTAATCAAAAAAGAGTGATGTGTATGATTCAGCATAGCGTGAACTTACCTGGTATCAAAACAATTAGGGGTGTCGCGGATGAAAGTGAGGACCAGGGGTTGGGGGAGGGGGGGCGAACACGTCTATAAACACGTCTATAAACGCACCGATCCGCACTTAAAATGTTTAATGACTTTTACTAAATGGCCATTTTTGCAATATTTTTAAATGAATGTTTCATATTGAAATGTGCTTAGATTTTAGATAAAGTGCTGGAATCCCTATAAGAAATTATAAATCGGGGGTTTGGGAGTTAAGACGATCCTGAGGGCCCACACATTAGGGTTCCCCAGAGACATTATAAAGCGCCCACAACACTGCCTCTCCCTCCCCACTCTTCACTGTTGTCCGCGACTCAGCACCTGCGCTCTGCGCTGGACTTTAGAGCAGCTTTTAGTTGGTCAATGGTGCGATCTATTTTAGTTCCTCAAAATAGCATCGTGCCAATAACACGCCTTAACACACCTCCTTTCCACTTGAAAAGTGCTTAGATTTTAGATAAAGTGCTGGAATCCCTATAAGGAATC